ACTCAAGATAATATAAAAGCTTAACATTAGATATTTTCTGTCCAAATGATATATTTTCATTCTGTCATTAATTATTCATTTATTGAGCTAATTAGAGGCCTCACATATTATCGTTAATTTAAAATTCTAATATAATAAGAAAGATGTAGGCTTGAAATATACAAAATTTTGATGGATAAAAAAATAATAAATTTCTTCAAAGTTTATTCTAATTCCTATATTTAAGATATTCAAACTGATTTAGTCAATATATTTTTACTTTTGCATATTTTAAATTACCTTGATCTATCATTCGTGACAACCAATCAATGGCAATAGATCGACTGACGTGATGGATACAACTTTCATTTGATATGATAAGTTCAAAATAACTTTCAATAGATTGTCAATTTGACTTATTTTTATAAATTGATAGCGAATCATTTTAGCATAGATTAGGCCCTATATTTAGAGCTGTAATTTTATTTAAAAAGTAATTTAATTCAATTCGAATTGCTGATAGCAGTAGGAAAACGTTTCATAAACTTGTTAGAAAATAAATACAGTAGTTTCAGGAATATTCCAAATCTATTGTTTATTACCATATAATTTACATCCGAATTTTCAGGCTTAGATAACTGTCACACGACTTAAACTATTTGAGAATTGTTTTCAAGGAACACAATAGATCTCATAATGAATACTTAGACCACTCGTTGATCGTAGGTTACTTTCTTTCTTTTTTTTTATAATTACCTTAACATTCAGTAGCTTCCATCTTATATTTTAGCAATCATTTGTCTTCATTACATTGTCAAAAGAAAATCTTTTGATTGGGCTCCTATAAACACACCAATGAACAGATGTCAAATAACTAAAATAAATTCTTGTATAAAGGAATATCTAATACTCTTCTTTTGTTTCTTCATTACATTAAAAACTTTGATCGGAGAATGAAGTAGGCTATACAGAAGTATCAACATTTAAAAAAAGGCAAATCGCTCAAGGCAATGCTAGAGAATGCATTTGTTGAAATTGATAAGTGTTCAATTTAACGATAAAATTGGTATTATAAAAGCTGGAAGGATAATAAGATTGTAAAGATCTTTTGGCTGGTTTAAATTGGAACGATTAGCACGTGGTGGGTAGAGTAATTCTTTAATCACTTGTCAAACCGTCAATTAAATATCATCCAGTTTGTTATCATCAGAACATCATAACATATCAAAACTGAGTGAAAAATAGCGTGTTTTATAAATAACGATAGAAATTATCACATTATTTACTTGCTCCGGGGTATTTTTAGTTACAAAAAATACAACCGAGAAAGGAAAAAATTGAAATTATTCCTTGATTATAATTAAGATTAGATTAATATTTATATTTTATCTAATGTTTGTCACTTACTAGACCGCTATTTTTACCTTATGTTCACGCAATAACCTCATACTTTATTTGGGTTTAGCTTACTTTCCTCAAACAAAATAGTTTCAAGAGAATCATCTTTAGCTGCGCTTAAAATGTTTCTTACATTTACTGATATTTGCAAAATAGAAGAAGAAAATAATGATAATAAAATTAGCTTGCTACATATTAAAAATTTAAACTTTCTGTCTAAAAAGTAGCTGTTCATAAAGTTAATTTTTTTCTTATTTAAATTAATATAACTTAGGATTAGGTGATTTTATCGGAATAAAAGTACAGTTTTATATTAACCATATTAAACTATATGAAGAATTATAAGTTGTAAATGATAACTTTTAATATATTAAAATTATTTTCTTGTGTTTTTTAAAGAAATATTGAAAAAATATAATTCCTTTAAAAATCTTTATTTATTTTTTTTCTTTTTAAATTGCAGTTTGAGATTCGTTAAATTGTGTTTTAGCTCTTCTCTACTTCTATACAGCTTTATTCTAATTGTTAAATGAATACTATAATCATTATAAATTTGATTAATAATAAAATAGAATAAAAGCTTTTGTAATAAGTCAAATTATTTAAAATACTTTAATTAATTTATATCAGTGATCATTTTATCTTTAGTAGTAATAAATTTCCAAATGATCGTAACCTCCAAAACATCTCATAAAAAAACATCAGTTTCAGTTAACCATTTAGTAATCAAAGAGGCTAAATTTGGGTTTCACACCAAGAATTACTATAGACCTACTTTAGTAATTCTTGGTAGTAGGTCCTTAGTATATCTTCAATTTTATAAAATTACTAAACTTAAAGCTAAACAATTAATAAATTTAACTTAAATATTTGTTTATTTAAAAAGAATATAAACCTGTTTTATTTTTTAAATATTCTGTGACTCCCTTTTATTTATTCTAGAGCTTTTTGATTTACTTAAAGAAATATTTTTGNATTTATAAATATCGTGAATAGAAATACAGTATTTAAATTGAGAGCAGTAATTTTAAGCAAATAATTAAATTTTTACTTGCCCCTAGGAGAATCCTTTCATTGAAAAATAAAAAAATTTTATTCATTGAAAACAATTAAACTTGAGTTGTCTTCACATAAATCAATGTATCTGGATATACGTAAATTATTACAATTGATTTCTTTGGTCCTTTGATTTTTTTTTCTTTTTAATTCGTAAATCATTTTTTAGAAATTCAATAGTTCAAAATATTATTATTAAATATATACCTATATATTTTTATAGATAGATAGATAAGGGTCGAATTTTTATCTTGCCAAACACAAAGAAAGGAAATGAAAAATAATAGGGTTAAATATTATAACCTGAGAATAATAATGATAGATATTTAGAAAGTCTTGAGATATGCCTATAATTCTTTAATTTGACTTAATTATATTTTAATCTTTAATCATGCCAAATTAATCGTTTATATTAATTCAAGTGAGCCAGAAGGATTAACTGGAGCTAATTTAAATCATAATAGATCTAATAAGAGACGTTAAACTTAATCAGCCTGAAACAAGACTAGCAAATAGGCTACATGATAAAATAAATTACAACTCTATCATCTAAAGTATAAGAATAGAATCAAGCCTGAAGGCAAGAAGGGGACTAAATATAAGACCAAATCTGAACGTCTCTATAATCAAGTCAAGGTTGATAAGGGTTGTTTAATTTCATATGCAGCAATTAAATATTTCTTACTTATTTTCGACCATACAACAACTTAATGTTAAGACATACTGAAAAATTCATTTTAAAATCTATCAATATTTTAAAATTGTTTTAAAATTCAAGTTAATTAAAATATTCTCGCAAAGCAAGAGTTAAATTTTAAATTATGCAAATGAATTATATCTTATAAGATTTCTATGGCTTTTTCAGTTCTCTTTACCTTTTAATATAGGCAAATGCAATTCCAATTTTAGATATAAAAGGCTTAATTCAACATTTATAAAGTTTTTTTAAAGAATTTTGGTAAATATTTAAGTAAATGAAAGTTGTATTAAAAGTGTATAGTCTAACTATTTGATTAATTTATTTTATCAGAAATAATTATAATTAAGTGAAGTAACTAATTTTAAAAAATCCCAAAACAGCGAAATATAGACTGAAGAATAACTTAGAATTATCCTACATGTTTAGAATATTATCATATAAGCTATATTTGAAGTTGATTTAAAAAGATGACTTTAAATTTAGACGAAGGAATTTTTAAAGTCATATAATGCAATCACTCATAAGTTATTTCAGAATATTTTATATAAAACATAATAGTATACTAAATAAATCACCGAAAAACTATGCTTTACTATCTCGTAGATTCAGATAATAAGTGATGATTATTTCGGTATAATAAAATTTTACAAGAAACAAAATGTAAAAATTTAATATTAAAGATTTATCATTTTGTAAATTGTTTAATCAATTGTAAAGCCTTTAAAAAAGGACTTTATTAATAAATTTATTTGTAAATTAAAGATTTCCCGATCGGCAAAAAATTTCATCTTCAAAAAACTGTACAATAATTAGCCAGATTTTTAGTTTAAATTGGAAATTTTATTTATTCATTTTTAATTCTGAAATTTCAAAAAATATTTTAGAATATTAAGTAAGAGAGATATAAATATCTTTATAAAAATAAACACATGTAATGATATTTCTCTCTTTTTTTCCTATACTCTTTGAAACTCACAGTAAAAAATTAGAACCGTATGTAGGCTCCTTCGATATTTGAAGAAGTCGCCGTAAAATAAATTACGAATAAAATTTACATTTTAAATTATAAATAGTGAAAGAATAATTTTTCTGAACATTTTTATCTTAAAAAGAAATTTTTATAAAACTGTCCTTGAAGGAAAACAATTTCTATATGCACCCCGAAGAAAGATATATTCTTATCCTTATTACACTAGAAGGAAAAACTTGTTAAGTCAAACCTCGCCGATCTAAAGAACAGTAACACATACAAAGCACAGGAACCTCCCCGTGTCACACCATTGACACAAAAACCTTATTGGATATGTCCGTTCAATGCGTTTGTCACTGGTCGACGTTGCGTACAATCGGGAGGAGCCAGACTAAGCTAACAACCAATAAAATCCAGCAATCACACGTCAATCATAACGGTGCAGAAGTCAAAGTGGTTAGTATAGCGAGAAAGGCACTGTGGGACGCAGAGTACTTCTTCCTCTGTACAGACAAGCATCTGTTCTCCAAAAAAGGGTTTCGACTTAAGCTTATAGAAGCATAGCCTCAAGATGGTGGATGTACATTCTTGAATTATGACCGGTAAAGGATTATTATGGTGGAACCGCTTCGTCTGCAAGGGTTGGTTTATCCCGAGCGAGGTATGGAGTTCTTACTGTGTGTACAGCTGGTAGGAACTTCATACCATGCTCGTGATAATTCTCAACACACCAACGATAAGGACTTCGTTTTTTCAAGCGGTGAGCATTTCATCTTGTGTCAGCATGTTCTTAGTGTCTATTTTATGTATTAACTGTGTATATTCATTCAGTTGAGAAATATGATAGGGTAATTTTTTTAAAAATCATATTCTAAGTTGCCGTAAAGCCGAACTTACCTCATTTTTAGTGTCGGCATCAATATGAAAGGAATAGAGACGTTGCAATTTTTCAAAACAGTTTCTACCGAGTAACACCAAAAAAGGATTTCGAGTAGAGTAAAAATCCAAGTCTATATCTAAAATATAGGAAGATTCTTTTATATTTTCAACTTCTAATAGATTTAATTCATTCTTTAGTTGTGATGGAGAGCTGGTTTCAGTTAAGACGGAAAACTTGTTTGGCATTTTCACCTCTGTTAACTCGGAGGCAATTTTGGAGCCATCAATTTGTTTGACAGTCTTCGTAACACCCAATAGTGGTTCACAAGGTTGTGGCGAAACTTGCAATTTTTCAGAGACAAAATCGCCCGAGGCCTTCGAAGCTATCTTAACGTGAGTCTCTATTTGTTTCGATCTTATATCATTTCTATAATCTTCATTTAGGCAATCCTTATCCGTTTTAAGAGGATCTATTTTATACGCTTTATTATCTTTTCCTGTAACACATTCTTCACAATTTACCGTCTGAACAATTAAATTTATTTTATTCTTATCGTCTCTCAAATTTTCTGGCATTGAATACAATAATTCACTCACAAAATAAGGTTCTGGACATGTTAACCTGCAAAAAGAAATAATTTAAGAATTAGTACATATTCCCAATTGTTCATAAATATATAGAATTTAACCCTTTTATTCTCTTTCATTTTTAACTTGTTTTCGTTATAAATACAGTATAATTACACTCATAAACTCAATTTTGATAGGCTTAATGGATAAACTAATTAAAATATCCAATATTAAACTTTAAAATGTCATTTATCAAGTATTGTAAGTAAATTATAGATCAGAAAAGTATTCAAATTTTGTATTACAAAACTAGGCCTATAATAAATAACAGATCCACAGAATAATAAGTTAATTGTAATTCCACATTCTTCTTGAATATTTTAAAAATATTCTCTGTGTTGTTAGTACATTATCTTTATTTTAATAAAACATATAGAAAGGATTAATTCAATACACAAGCCTAAAATAGGATTACAGTTATTCAAAATCAAAGTATATTGTATTTACTGATCTTAGGCTTAGGCCAACATTTAGTTTTCTCCTCGAAACAGAACATGTAATTTCCCATATTCCAAAGAAAACTATTACTGATTTTGAATGTTTCCTTTAATAAATTCTAAACATGTATGACAATTAATACAGTTCATATACTTGCCTCAAAATTCAGTAATAGGCCTACAAGAATATAACATAAACTTACCTTTAAGCACATATTTATGTTTCAATTTAAAATTAATTTTTTTAAAATAAAATGTTCGTGTACAGGTATTAAGAAATGTACTGTGATATATGTTTTTTTGAAAAATTTGTATTTTTTTGTAATTTTATTAATTTTTAAGATTACTAATAAACGTTTTGTTATATATTATAAAGTTGTAGTGTTGCATATCATTATTATTATTTTTTTTTATTTTTTTAAACAGCTTCTGGCGATGATCTTTTAACTACAAAAATTTTATAAATTTATGTTAAATATTGGCGAAAAATTAATTTCTAATTATTCTTAATTATTATTCTTAACTTTTTTTGGCATTTTTAGAAGAAAATGTATTTCAAATTTAAAAATCTAGCTATGAATCAAAAGACAAAGAATTATTTTCAGTTTCATTTGCTTACATCACAAGTATAAAGTAATATAAATTAAAATTTAAAAAATCTAATATTTAATTAGAAAAATTTAAAATTTTTAGCATTAATTCGCAACAAACTATAATAGATTTTTTAAAGTAATACTCCCATTAAAATGTCCCAAATTTATAATTATAAGTATATTCCCATAGGCGAATATGGATTCTCTGTTGAATTTTAATCATTTATTTTATAGGTCAAGAATCTATGTTATAAGTTATATACTATAGCTTATAAGTTTATAAATAAGTTGGTATTTATTTATAAATTAATCATTTAAACCTCAGTTTCTTTTGTCAATATTTAGCCTAATATTTTACTATAATAAAAAAATTAAAAAAAACAGAAAGTGAAAAATTTTGAATATTTAGATATAGATTTTTATATAATTTTAGAATTAAATCTTAAGAAATCATAGAAAAGTTCTTTTCATGATGACATAAAAAAATTAATTTAAAAGTATAATTAAATAAAGATATTTCAAATAAAATGTCTTTCAAGCGCTAAAAGTAAGTTATTAAACTCTGAATCAACTTTTTTCAGAAACTCAGAAGTGAAACTAAAAAGGGTTAAGAAAATTGAGGGTAGGGATGGGGTTTTGGGGGGAGTTTCACCATTTCATTCCATCAGGTAACCCCCTGGCTTGTTTCTCACGCTCCAACCCTTCTCAGACGAGTTTTTTTTCTTGGTCTACTGCTTTTCTTCTTCCAACTGCATCGCCCAGCAGATGGTAAGCAAAGGATTTGGTTTTTACCTGATACCTCATTAATCAAAGACTTATCCACCATCTTCTTTGTATGAGGGGNATATATATATATATATTAAGATAATATATATATATATATTATCTTAACCTTTAATTACCTGCTACTTCGAGGTAACTCGTTAATAGTTCCACCCTTATGAAGATGTTTAAACATATTCTCTAATTCGTCCAATTGTTTTTTCCTTTCGATCGTAACTCTCTCTAATTCCTAAACAAACCAAGAAAGGAACAATAAATAATGTATAATATACCATAAAATTGTTCTGACCTTGTTAAGGCCTCATACTTAATTTCGCGATTGCGTGATTATGTCATTACGAAATATCATTAAAGTAAAGTAGGCTGCACATTTAATTGGCTGATCAGATAAATATAATATAGAGTTGTTAATAGAATAAAAATTAATATTTTTTAATATTTTTATAAGAATCAATGAAATGGGATATTTGCAGTCTTGTCTAATCGCTGTTTTCAGTAAGTCTAACTGCACCTGTACTTGACTCCCTCCTGGGGTCCTCATTTCCTGTCTCAGGGTTGGTGACCCCCATTGGATAATCACTTAAAATATTATTTATACGCTTTTTTATTGTTTTTAACAAACTTGAAACTATGAAATTAAAAAAAACCTAAGTAAGATAAATGATAGCATATTTCCAAAATATCTTTGGCCTGTAAGACAATAATAAATTTATTACCGAATGAGATTTAATCTATAAAACCGAATTTATATATACATAAAATTATAAATTAATTTTTAACATTTTTATGGCCCATGTTAAAAAAATTCATATTAAACAAGTCCTAAAGGAGTAAGCATTTAGAATTGCTAATCGAGAACCTAATACCAATAACAAACTTAAAACACATAAATTATGTATAATAATTTTGAACAAAAAATAGCCTTGTCTTATCATTATTATACTGAAATATGTATATATAACTGGTTTGAAATTTTATTTATAAATAATCTAAATAAAATAAATAAAAAATCTTAAAGCGTAAATTTAATATGGATTATATTTAGTCTAATCCATCTAAATAGAGAATTCAATAAATTCATTGATTTAATCATTTATTAAATTTTAGAATGCTTTCTCATAGTTGAAGAGATCGCAAAAAATGCTATAAAATATTTTTATTTTTAATATAATTAATTATAATTTATAATACAAAAACTTTAATATAATAGTATCATTTATGTGTATGTTTATTGATAACTGTAAGTTCATGATTGAAAGAAGAGATCACTCCCCAGCCATTCGTCTGGAGAGTCATCTGATGATACGTGAAAAATTCTATTAATATACAAAGAGGCTGTGTAACTTAAATCAAAATAAAAATATATACATATATATTTCTCGGAGAAGCATACTTTTGTGTATTAAAATCTTCAGTTTAAATATATATTAGTTAGTTAATATATATTAGTTAAGTTATTAGTTAAAATATATATTAGTTAAGTTTTTATATGTATAATTAAATTTACGCTTTGGCAAATTATGGGATTTTAATTCTAAAGTTTAAACTAAAAGAATTAAAAATCTAAATAAAAATACCATTATAAAATAATCTGAAAAGTTACAAATGTATACGATAGAAAATTGGTAAAGGAAAGAAAATACATTACTAGAATTCTAATTTATAAATTTTAAATGCTTGAACACATTTCAAATTACACCATTGAAACTTTATATTTTCATTCATAAATTATAAAATTTCGATTGTATTGTTTAATCATTTATAGAAATATTAAATAAATAAATTCAATATATAATTAAATCATAGTAATATTGAAAATACACAAAACCAATTTTGAATTCTAATTTTGAAATTGAATATCTAGTGCTATTTTTAGATTATAAATTTTAATTTTCAAATATAATTAATTTATTAAATTAATTAATTAAAATTTAAATTACACAATATAGAAGAAGGATACTTTAACGTTATTATATGTAATAATTATATTAAAATTCTGGAGGAATGTCAATAACATTAACTTTAGTTTTAGTTAATCCAAATAAGGTAGCCATTTATTGTAAAAAGTCTTTACGAAGAAAGTATTTTAGATGAATAAATTTATTTTATGATTTCATAAAGTAAATATAATTGCTACAGGTTATTATAATTTTTATAATAATAATCTTAGATTTATTTTGATATATAATTTGATTATAATTGATTTTATTTTATTAATAAATATATTTATAAATATCGTGAATAGAAATACAGTATTTAAATTGAGAGCAGTAATTTTAAGCAAATAATTAAATTTTTACTTGCCCCTAGGAGAATCCTTTCATTGAAAAATAAAAAAATTTTATTCATTGAAAACAATTAAACTTGAGTTGTCTTCACATAAATCAATGTATCTGGATATACGTAAATTATTACAATTGATTTCTTTGGTCCTTTGATTTTTTTTTTCTTTTTAATTCGTAAATCATTTTTTAGAAATTCAATAGTTCAAAATATTATTATTAAATATATACCTATATATTTTTATAGATAGATAGATAAGGGTCGAATTTTTATCTTGCCAAACACAAAGAAAGGAAATGAAAAATAATAGGGTTAAATATTATAACCTGAGAATAATAATGATAGATATTTAGAAAGTCTTGAGATATGCCTATAATTCTTTAATTTGACTTAATTATATTTTAATCTTTAATCATGCCAAATTAATCGTTTATATTAATTCAAGTGAGCCAGAAGGATTAACTGGAGCTAATTTAAATCATAATAGATCTAATAAGAGACGTTAAACTTAATCAGCCTGAAACAAGACTAGCAAATAGGCTACATGATAAAATAAATTACAACTCTATCATCTAAAGTATAAGAATAGAATCAAGCCTGAAGGCAAGAAGGGGACTAAATATAAGACCAAATCTGAACGTCTCTATAATCAAGTCAAGGTTGATAAGGGTTGTTTAATTTCATATGCAGCAATTAAATATTTCTTACTTATTTTCGACCATACAACAACTTAATGTTAAGACATACTGAAAAATTCATTTTAAAATCTATCAATATTTTAAAATTGTTTTAAAATTCAAGTTAATTAAAATATTCTCGCAAAGCAAGAGTTAAATTTTAAATTATGCAAATGAATTATATCTTATAAGATTTCTATGGCTTTTTCAGTTCTCTTTACCTTTTAATATAGGCAAATGCAATTCCAATTTTAGATATAAAAGGCTTAATTCAACATTTATAAAGTTTTTTTAAAGAATTTTGGTAAATATTTAAGTAAATGAAAGTTGTATTAAAAGTGTATAGTCTAACTATTTGATTAATTTATTTTATCAGAAATAATTATAATTAAGTGAAGTAACTAATTTTAAAAAATCCCAAAACAGCGAAATATAGACTGAAGAATAACTTAGAATTATCCTACATGTTTAGAATATTATCATATAAGCTATATTTGAAGTTGATTTAAAAAGATGACTTTAAATTTAGACGAAGGAATTTTTAAAGTCATATAATGCAATCACTCATAAGTTATTTCAGAATATTTTATATAAAACATAATAGTATACTAAATAAATCACCGAAAAACTATGCTTTACTATCTCGTAGATTCAGATAATAAGTGATGATTATTTCGGTATAATAAAATTTTACAAGAAACAAAATGTAAAAATTTAATATTAAAGATTTATCATTTTGTAAATTGTTTAATCAATTGTAAAGCCTTTAAAAAAGGACTTTATTAATAAATTTATTTGTAAATTAAAGATTTCCCGATCGGCAAAAAATTTCATCTTCAAAAAACTGTACAATAATTAGCCAGATTTTTAGTTTAAATTGGAAATTTTATTTATTCATTTTTAATTCTGAAATTTCAAAAAATATTTTAGAATATTAAGTAAGAGAGATATAAATATCTTTATAAAAATAAACACATGTAATGATATTTCTCTCTTTTTTTCCTATACTCTTTGAAACTCACAGTAAAAAATTAGAACCGTATGTAGGCTCCTTCGATATTTGAAGAAGTCGCCGTAAAATAAATTACGAATAAAATTTACATTTTAAATTATAAATAGTGAAAGAATAATTTTTCTGAACATTTTTATCTTAAAAAGAAATTTTTATAAAACTGTCCTTGAAGGAAAACAATTTCTATATGCACCCCGAAGAAAGATATATTCTTATCCTTATTACACTAGAAGGAAAAACTTGTTAAGTCAAACCTCGCCGATCTAAAGAACAGTAACACATACAAAGCACAGGAACCTCCCCGTGTCACACCATTGACACAAAAACCTTATTGGATATGTCCGTTCAATGCGTTTGTCACTGGTCGACGTTGCGTACAATCGGGAGGAGCCAGACTAAGCTAACAACCAATAAAATCCAGCAATCACACGTCAATCATAACGGTGCAGAAGTCAAAGTGGTTAGTATAGCGAGAAAGGCACTGTGGGACGCAGAGTACTTCTTCCTCTGTACAGACAAGCATCTGTTCTCCAAAAAAGGGTTTCGACTTAAGCTTATAGAAGCATAGCCTCAAGATGGTGGATGTACATTCTTGAATTATGACCGGTAAAGGATTATTATGGTGGAACCGCTTCGTCTGCAAGGGTTGGTTTATCCCGAGCGAGGTATGGAGTTCTTACTGTGTGTACAGCTGGTAGGAACTTCATACCATGCTCGTGATAATTCTCAACACACCAACGATAAGGACTTCGTTTTTTCAAGCGGTGAGCATTTCATCTTGTGTCAGCATGTTCTTAGTGTCTATTTTATGTATTAACTGTGTATATTCATTCAGTTGAGAAATATGATAGGGTAATTTTTTTTAAAATCATATTCTAAGTTGCCGTAAAGCCGAACTTACCTCATTTTTAGTGTCGGCATCAATATGAAAGGAATAGAGACGTTGCAATTTTTCAAAACAGTTTCTACCGAGTAACACCAAAAAAGGATTTCGAGTAGAGTAAAAATCCAAGTCTATATCTAAAATATAGGAAGATTCTTTTATATTTTCAACTTCTAATAGATTTAATTCATTCTTTAGTTGTGATGGAGAGCTGGTTTCAGTTAAGACGGAAAACTTGTTTGGCATTTTCACCTCTGTTAACTCGGAGGCAATTTTGGAGCCATCAATTTGTTTGACAGTCTTCGTAACACCCAATAGTGGTTCACAAGGTTGTGGCGAAACTTGCAATTTTTCAGAGACAAAATCGCCCGAGGCCTTCGAAGCTATCTTAACGTGAGTCTCTATTTGTTTCGATCTTATATCATTTCTATAATCTTCATTTAGGCAATCCTTATCCGTTTTAAGAGGATCTATTTTATACGCTTTATTATCCTTTCCTGTAACACATTCTTCAAAATTTACCGTCTGAACAATTAAATTTATTTTATTCTTATCGTCTCTCAAATTTTCTGGCATTGAATACAATAATTCACTCACAAAATAAGGTTCTGGACATGTTAACCTGCAAAAAGAAATAATTTAAGAATTAGTACATATTCCCAATTGTTCATAAATATATAGAATTTAACCCTTTTATTCTCTTTCATTTTTAACTTGTTTTCGTTATAAATACAGTATAATTACACTCATAAACTCAATTTTGATAGGCTTAATGGATAAACTAATTAAAATATCCAATATTAAACTTTAAAATGTCATTTATCAAGTATTGTAAGTAAATTATAGATCAGAAAAGTATTCAAATTTTGTATTACAAAACTAGGCCTATAATAAATAACAGATCCACAGAATAATAAGTTAATTGTAATTCCACATTCTTCTTGAATATTTTAAAAATATTCTCTGTGTTGTTAGTACATTATCTTTATTTTAATAAAACATATAGAAAGGATTAATTCAATACACAAGCCTAAAATAGGATTACAGTTATTCAAAATCAAAGTATATTGTATTTACTGATCTTAGGCTTAGGCCAACATTTAGTTTTCTCCTCGAAACAGAACATGTAATTTCCCATATTCCAAAGAAAACTATTACTGATTTTGAATGTTTCCTTTAATAAATTCTAAACATGTATGACAATTAATACAGTTCATATACTTGCCTCAAAATTCAGTAATAGGCCTACAAGAATATAACATAAACTTACCTTTAAGCACATATTTATGTTTCAATTTAAAATTAATTTTTTTAAAATAAAATGTTCGTGTACAGGTATTAAGAAATGTACTGTGATATATGTTTTTTTGAAAAATTTGTATTTTTTTGTAATTTTATTAATTTTTAAGATTACTAATAAACGTTTTGTTATATATTATAAAGTTGTAGTGTTGCATATCATTATTATTATTTTTTTTTATTTTTTTAAACAGCTTCTGGCGATGATCTTTTAACTACAAAAATTTTATAAATTTATGTTAAATATTGGCGAAAAATTAATTTCTAATTATTCTTAATTATTATTCTTAACTTTTTTTGGCATTTTTAGAAGAAAATGTATTTCAAATTTAAAAATCTAGCTATGAATCAAAAGACAAAGAATTATTTTCAGTTTCATTTGCTTACATCACAAGTATAAAGTAATATAAATTAAAATTTAAAAAATCTAATATTTAATTAGAAAAATTTAAAATTTTTAGCATTAATTCGCAACAAACTATAATAGATTTTTTAAAGTAATACTCCCATTAAAATGTCCCAAATTTATAATTATAAGTATATTCCCATAGGCGAATATGGATTCTCTGTTGAATTTTAATCATTTATTTTATAGGTCAAGAATCTATGTTATAAGTTATATACTATAGCTTATAAGTTTATAAATAAGTTGGTATTTATTTATAAATTAATCATTTAAACCTCAGTTTCTTTTGTCAATATTTAGCCTAATATTTTACTATAATAAAAAATTAAAAAAAACAGAAAGTGAAAAATTTTGAATTTTTAGATATAGATTTTTATATAATTTTAGAATTAAATCTTAAGAAATCATAGAAAAGTTCTTTTCATGATGACATAAAAAAATTAATTTAAAAGTATAATTAAATAAAGATATTTCAAATAAAATGTCTTTCAAGCGCTAAAAGTAAGTTATTAAACTCTGAATCAACTTTTTTCAGAAACTCAGAAGTGAAACTAAAAAGGGTTAAGAAAATTGAGGGTAGGGATGGGGTTTTGGGGGGAGTTTCACCATTTCATTCCATCAGGTAACCCCCTGGCTTGTTTCTCACGCTCCAACCCTTCTCAGACGAGTTTTTTTTCTTGGTCTACTGCTTTTCTTCTTCCAACTGCATCGCCCAGCAGATGGTAAGCAAAGGATTTGGTTTTTACCTGATACCTCATTAATCAAAGACTTATCCACCATCTTCTTTGTATGAGGGGGAAGGTTTTACTAGAAAGAGTTTATCTTTTTCTTTAAGGAACCGGTTGTTCGACTTTTTTCTATGCTATTACATATGGATACTTTGTAAATATAATAGTATATCTACAGGTTCCGTTAAAATATTTAGTATAAATTGAAGAACTATAAGAATATAATGCCTCTTCTATATGCTAAAATACCAGTATTGATATAAATTTGTGTATTGAGACTTGAAACAAAGTTACAAACAACAAAACTTTCAAGATCAAAATCACAATAAGAATGTCTTTCCAACGATTTTATAATACTATATTTAGAATCAAATTTCAAACTTTTAGTCAATCACGTTATCGAAATCTGTTTTTTATTATTGTAGAATTTCCAAATCTTACTTTAAAAGTTAGACTTTTAGACAGATTGAAGCAATTATATCATGTAAACTTATTCAATACTATTATTTTGTAAATTGAAAATTTTAAATTTGAATTAACCTAAAAAAATTTTAATTTAAATGTTAATTTAAAAGTCATAAAATGTTTGATTCATTTTAAAAAATATAGATTTGACCAATCGTCGCCGTCCTAAAAATAGAGAAATATTTAAATTTCTTCGAATTTAATAATTCATTTATTAAAATATTTTTCTAACTAAAGTACATGTAGAATAAATATTACATATTTTTCAGCCTATAGGCCAATCGTTTATTTTGGATCAATTCCAAATCATAATTTCAATATATGTATAAAAAAATACATATCATTCGTTACCAATGTACAGGTACATATTTTTTTTTTATATATAGGCAAATACTTTTTCTTTGTTTTATAAAGAAAACCGCACCTAAATTTTGCAATAAGTTAATAAAATTGCTTTTTTATGTCGCTACTCAGAACTAATTTCTTTTCTTTTTTAGATCTATGGACCTATTTTCTAATATCATTCTTCTTACAGAATACTGATTTAATCTATTTTTGGTCTATATGACAGGCTTAATTATCAATAGTTAGAATAAATTAATAAAATTTATATATCTACTGATATTAATTCTAAATTATCTTAAAATATAACAGCTTATATACATAAGTGTCTATATAGATAACTTTAGAAATAGTTTATTTCTATGAATAAAAATGTCTTTTAATAATAAATATATGGTAACATTCAACTTAAGATCTTTCTGAGTAAATAGATAACATATCAAATTAAATATCATTTTATTAAAAGTTACTTTTAATGAACAATATTTGAAAATTTAAATGTTTGTAATTAAAAAATGAAAGTAAAAATCACTTTCTAGAAATCTGGATCATTAAAATTCCTAATTAAGTCTGTTTAACATATGATATTCTTTCAACAAATCATTACCATATTCTATGTTTAGAAATAAATTTCTTATTCAAAAAACTTGATTTAAAAACAGTTTTGAATATTTCTTGAGAACATTTGAATTAAATATAATTAATTAATTTCAAATAAAAAATAAAATTTATGTGTAAAAATTACAGAAATGACTATAGAGAAGTTTTTAATTTCGTGTAATATCGAATTCGCCCATATTTTATAGTAGTAGTAGGCCTATATTCATATAAGTGTATATCTGTTGAAGGTAGACATAAATTCTTATTTAGGCTCTACTTTTCTACATATTGAAACATCAAAGATAATGCGATAAAAATTATTAAACGTTATTCTTGATTTTGGAGATCCTGTTAGCTTACGGATTATATTTACATTGCATCGCATTAAGAAGTTCTGTATCTTATTAATAGGATGACCAAATATGAAAGAAATGTCAAGAGTCGGCTATAAGAAACGGAACTCTTGTAACTAAATATGCTATAGTTTTTGTTTATTCTCATCCTACTACTACTTACTCATTTGATACTTGAGCAGGCTCTGTGTTTGAAGAAACAAAAATAGCTTTGACCTAAATATGACTAGCTCTTTGTCACTTCATAATTAAGTCTATTAATAATTGATATCTAGAGAATTCAATAATTTCATTTCATTTGTATTTAGGTTTATATTTATTTTGAAATTCAACGTTGAGAAATATTAGTTGTGAAATTTATTTTTGCAAAAGATTTAATAGCATTATAATTTTTGGCCAACTTTGAAAATTCATTATCATATAAAATTTCATAAAAATACATTACCTTTTTCAATGGGCTTGCATTTCAAGATGATGAACTTTGTATTCTCATATATACGTTTAAATATCGCTTTTAAGGCATATAAAGCTACTATTCAAAGCTAATTTATTATCGTATTAATGCAGTAAAAAATTATTTTCCGAAATATTTTGATAAATTTCTAGTGAAAAATTATTCAAAGAAAAAAAAACTTAATGTTTATCTATTCTTCACAAATTTTTAATGTTGTCAGTTGGAAAGCAATAAGACTGGATGTCGACTTTACTTGACAGGTGTTTATATCTTAAAACTCGATTCACATCGGCACGGATCTACAGTTCAAAGGTCAGGACGAGATAACCGAAACAGAAAGCCTATCTTCCAAGCATCTATATTATAAAGAGTTTTTTTTAATTAAAAATTGCAAACTCGGCTTACCCTTAATCTAGATTATGTAAATTAATTTAATTATGTTTATTGATATATGCTATCTCTTATAAAGAAATAATAAAATTATATATATATATATAGATCAACATCAACATGTATAGCTATACATATAGATCTTAACAAATAATGTCGAATTTTTGCATTTTCAAATTTCTGACAGAATATGTTTGTTTTTTATACATAAATAATATATAAAATAGTTTACATAATAACTTCTAATTATTGTTTAGTGGTCTATATGTTGTATTTTCATTGATTTAGACTTATTTAATAACAATGAAATTGTTTAATTCAAAGAAAAAATATAATGCCAAATATTTTTATATTAAATATATTTTATAAAAAGTCCTATACTGTAGGCCAAAGCATTCATTTAATTAAAACCTAACACAAAAAACAAATTTCAACATATAGCTTTTTGTTTTCTGGTGTAAATGTAGTTTTTCAGAAAGCTTATATTGTGAGTATTCAAACTCTCATTGATAGCATTATTATTCGTTTTTCATATACCTCAAGCAATTAAATAATAAATTTTGAAATCTTAACTGGAAAATCCTT